CTGCAGGGGGAAGTGTTCCTTCTCTGGCCCCCCTCCTCCTATGATGGTGTTTTCAGAGCTGGACTCCTTGAGGGTGGGAATAGAATCTTCCAAAGGACAGGCTAACAGAGGAGAGAGCCTTGGGGCCCTGGATACTGGCTGTCCAGGCAGGTGAGTTTGGTGGGGTGATGGAGGCAGTTTTGGGTCAAGATTTCTCTAAGGACCAACACAAAGCAATCACATGGGGCTTTCAAAAAAAAATCATCCAAGGTCTGTCTGATTATACTTGTCCTCTGCCCCGTCTCTCTGGTCACCTGGCTGACTTCGCTCTGGGCTGGTAGCCAGAGAGGACTTTGTAATGAAGGCACCAGGAGGCCCTTTTGTGGCCTCAACTGTTGCCCTACCACACTTCCAGGGAGAGGGAAAGGGAGAGGAGGGCCAATGGGACTGTCTGCCACCTGTCGCTGAGAGCAGGGCCTCAAATGCACCGCTTTGTATGAGATTCCAGGCATCCAATGGGCTCCAAGTCTTCCCCACGTCCTTGGATGTTGCAGGCTGAGCAGGGGTGGCCACACACATGAGAAGCCTGATCTCTGCCTGCCCGATGTTCCTCGACCCTGGTCAGCCACTGAATCTTGAATCCTAACCCTAAGAGGGGGAAATGTCCTTAAGATCAAGGTGTTTATGTGGTCCTGTCCTGCCTCACTTCCAGGGAGGTGCATTCCCTGCAGAGGCGAGAATGGGCCCAGTGAACACCTACTGTGTGCATGCCAGGGTCAGGTGAGGGAGATTTGCTCATCTTGGGCTGCTCTTCAAAGAGGCTGCCTGCCAGCTGGAGGGCACCCAGGATGTGGTGGGATTATTAAAAGGAGGCAGGCTGCCTCGCTTGGAGAAGCAAAGCCTTTTGGGGGTGAAAAACAACACATTCCCCTCTTCAAAGAGAAAAGGCTGAGATCAAAGGGAGAAAGCAGGAGGTCAAAGGTCGATTCCTGTCTGTCTGTGGAGTGGCCAAGGGCTCATGGATTCTTAGTGTCTATGTCCTCCAAAGTCTACCTTTCTAACTTCATGGAAAAGAGGACCCGGTGCATGGATTCTAGTTAATGTACCTGCACGTTTTGCTCAAGCACTCTCCTACACACACAACTCCAGATCACCAGAGGCAGCAAACGCCCACAGAGAAGCAATACATCAGTGTAACCACAACCCCACACCCCCACCACTGACAATCCCCTCTGAAGCATAATATCCCAAACTAGAGATAATGCTTGCCAATCACTGAGCCTACAGGCTGTGTTAGCTGATCAATCTGCCAGCATGCCTGCTGGCTGATGATGCCATCCATGCGGGCGGCTTGCTGGGGTGTGCTGCAGCCACAGAGGGCAGAGCTGGGAGCATGGGACAAGGGGAGACCCCAGAAACAGGGGATCTCAGTGTGAGGGAAGTTTCTGTCTCTCAGAGTCATAGCTGTGTCATGGGGAGGGGCTGCTGCTAAGGAGAGTGAATATCCTGTCATGTCAAAGCAGGAGACAGGATAGGATGACTATGGTGCTGGATGTGGCCGAGAACGTTCCTGTCTAGGTGGATTTGTTGAGGGAGACCTCTGCTGTCTCCTTTTGGACATCCCAGCACACTCTTGTCCCTGAGCTCCGAGAGTGGGTGGTACAGAAACCGTGGGTATGGCAGACTGAGCTTGCCAAGTGTCCAAGGAATACACCAGCTTGTACTGAACCTTCAGCCCTCAGGTTGGGAGCACTTCCTCTCTATGCCCCTTCTGGCCATGTGCAAGGAGTTACCCAAGGATGGACTTGTCAGTTGTGTTGGCCAGGTGTCCCAAGACACCTACCACCTCAAGCCCTTCTAGGGCAGCTGGAATGCACACAGGACTCTGGCACTTTGTTCCTGGTGGCGACTCTTGGCGCTTTCAGGCTGTGTTAGGAGGAGTTAATGGGTGGTCCTTGTTCTGATTCTGCCATCACTAGCCCATAAGCTGCACGTGGAGAAGCATATCATGGACCACAAAGCTGAAGTCTCCTCTAAGGTGGAACATCAAGATGGAAGGATCCTGGCCTCTCGTAGTAGCTAAGCTCCAACTTCACTCAGATTGTTTACTCAGGGATGACAAGTAGCCTTTCCAGGGACTCTGGATTTTATCATCTCAAGGGTCATCAGGCTGTATGCCACTAACCAGTATCTACTCACGAACCTATGTGTTCATTCTAGTCTCCATCCCCTGATGTCTATAAAGGGAAGGACTTTTTCTTTTTTCTTGGTCTTGCTCAATGTACTATCCCTTAACCCTAGCACATAAGGGTTGATGCATATTGTTTGCAGGTGTGTAAGGATGATGATGGGGATACAGGGAGAGGACCCTTTTAGATTTACCTGAAGTACCACCTGACCCCTTCACCAATTCTCAACACTCTTCTTTTAACCCTTAGTGGGACGATGGCAAAAGAGTTAGTTTCTATACTAGGTGAGGGTCATGTTCAAGATTAGTTGAATTAAATTAATGAGGAACATGGGCTTTATAGCCCCAGGACATGCCCTCGCTTCAATCCACAAGGTCACATGGTGAAATTCTTCACCTGCCCAGTGTCTGGCATGTAGGAAATTCTCCTTAGATCTGTATAGCATGACAGATGTCATTTACTCCTTATATTTGTATAGCATAGAGATGGCTGTCGTTGCTGCAAGTACCTGATAATAAGTCCATTCACACCAGCATTACCACAGTCACTTCCCTAAATTGATCTTCAACATTGTAGAGTCAAAGTGAGTCACTTATTGGTCAGTTCTCAGATGGAGTGACCAAGGAACAGCTGAGCTACAGAGAGATTATGTGTGTGTCAACACAGGTGTGAAAATGTCTGTCATTTACATCTGTGGGTGTATGTGTACTTATGCATTAAATGCATGCAACGTTGAAGAGGTGTGTGCACATGCATATCTGTGCATATGTGACTGTCCTTGTGTGAGCGTGTAGACGTGTGTAGAACCTCTGTGTACAAATTCTTGGCTGCTGGGTCTGCATTTCTGCTAGTACAATTTTTTTTTCTGGTGCACACCTAATCTTGGTCTCTTTTCTTTTCCTTTCTTCTTAGAAATCCATTACTAAAAGGCTTCCCCCCCACCTCCAGGGGAAGGGGGCTAAGGAAAGGGGAAGCTAAAATCACAAGGCCCAGATCAAAACACTCAGCAGCTAAATGAATTCGGCAGCGTTTTCCCGCATGACTTGGAGGGATAATTTAGTGAGGCCGCCAGCTGGAAGGAAAGGGATTAATTCTGCACTTAGCGCAGTTCCAGTGAATAATTCATCACTGGAGACCTTTGTGCCCAGCCTCTGGGCAACAGGGGACGTGTCCTACCCACCTGCCTGTTGCCTGTCTGTCCCCATCATTCTCCTAGCCAGGGATACCTAGCTCTCTCTCCTTCTTCTGGTTGCAGAGTGCATGTGTCTTGGGGCACATGAGGGCAGGAGGCAGAGGGAAATGGCAAGAGACTAGCAGTGACTGTTGACAGATCCTAGACCCTGAGACGGCCCCAGCAGCCTGGGATGCTCTTGGGAAAGATGTCACATTTCCCCACTTTCTTAGGATTAAAAAAAAACTTATAATTTTTTTAGTTATGATACATGACGAATGTGTGTGTTATTATCAGTTAGTGTGTGTGTGTGTGCGCGTGCATATGTGTGTGTGCTTATGTGTGTGTGTGTGTGTGTGTGTGTGTGTGCGCGCGCGCGTGTGCACATAAAGGTCAGAGCACAACTTTGTGGCATCAGTTCTCCCCACGTCTGTATAAGGTCTGGGGATCCAACTCAAGCTGTCAGGCTTGAGCCAGCTCAGCGGTCCTGGGTCTCTGCGGCGTCTCTCAATGGGTTTTCTTATTTTCGCGGTTGATTTACTGGTGAGTACAGGTGTGGATGCCATGAGCAGGGGTTAGAGGGATCTGGAGGGGATGATGGTGAACACCACACTGGGCCTTTTGTGCTGTCATCATCCCAGATATTCTCCTCATACCACACACCATGGAATTCCCATGTTCTTCATGGGTAAGGACATAAGGCTCTGAACTACCTTATAGCTGTTGGATTTTTTTTTTCCTGTCCTGAGAAGCTAACAAGAGTAGATTAGCCCTTAATCAGCTCTTGAACATTTCCTGGGTTCGGGGTCAGATTGCCCACACCCTAGTACCAGAGAGGGAAGTGGAGAGGTTTCAGTGGGTGGTTTTCAGGAACACTAGATCCATGACCAGCGTCGAAGCTGGAGTGAGCCTAAGTGGAAGTGTCCAGAGGATCAGTGGCCATCCCCCAGGCAGGGCTTGCCTGGTAACCTTTCCACTTGGACCAACTCTGCCGTGGCAAGCAGGATCCCAAAACGGGTCCCCAAGCCCTTCCACCTTAATATTTAGAATTGCCAAATAGAGAGCCACCACTTCCATGATTCTGTTGGGTGGTATGACACAGCAGACCCTGAGGCAAGATGATGATCCAGTTCTTTTAAAAGCACAGAGTCTTCTCTGGATGCTGACAGAAGCGAAAGTCAGAATTTCAAAGTGTGCTGGGGACTAGCTGTGCCTGCTGGCATCATAGTACAGGGACCATGGTAAGAAGGCATGTGGGCGGTCTCCAGGAGCTGAGAGCACCCTGGCTAGCAGCCAGCAAGGAATCTGGGCCACCAGTCCTACACCACAAGGAACTTGGTCCTGCCTGCACCCCCAAAAGAAGCCCTGTCATCTTCACAGAACTCTGACCCCCAGTTAAGCAGGTGTGGGTTAGGTTAGGTTGGGGCAGAGGTAGACTCCTGGGCCTTTGTGACCCTTTGTTCTTGCCTCTTCCTAATCACAGCACTCTACCTGACTTCCTGGGGCCTCAGACCCCCTCAGAACTTCCCAACTAAACCAGCAGACTCTTCCTTCTCCCTGGCCCCAGACTCTGAGAGTCAGTCCCTGAGAAGGACATTGTCACTCACTTGGGGGTTATGGGAGCCGACACATGTCTGACCCTTCCAGGCCCCCACTCTTACCTCAGAGGAAAGAAGTTGGAAGGAGAGATTCACTGTGGGGGGCTCTCCACTGATGGTTTTTAGGTGGGTGTCCTAGGGAAGAGAAGGGGCAGTGAGTCTACACGGCCAGGCCAGTGCAGGCAAGACCTCTCAGGTCCAGCTCTTGTTCTGACTCCTCCGGGAAGAAGGAGGGTACAAAGGAATGTGGGAGGGATGCCAGAGCTGGCCTTCTGCCTCTGTTCCAGCAACGCCTCCACTCGGCCCTTCTCACTCCGTTCAACACCTGACTGGCACCTCCACGCTCGTCTTCTGGCAGAGCAGAAGTTCCTGCTTGCTGTTATGTCAGAAGTATTTAGGGAAATGGTGGCACAGAAATAGACAATGATGCTGGGTATGGTGGCACATGCCTATCGTCCCAGCACTTGGTAAGCGGAGACAGGAGGAGCAAGAGCTCCAAGTCATCATTGGCTACATAGCAAGTTTGAGGCCAGAGACCCTGTCATATATACATATACACGTATATGTATGTGTGTGTGTGTGTGTGTGTGTGTGTGTGTGTGTGTGTGTGTGTGTGTGTGTGTGTATGGTAAAAACAGTAATGATAAAGCTATTTTTTTTTCCAGTGAGGATTGAACCTTTGGCCTCTTGCAAGCTCGCATACTGGGCAAGTGCTCTTCCACTAAAGCTACACCCCAAGCCTTGTTTGTTTGCTTGTTTTTATTTTGAGACAAGTTCCCCACACTGGTCTCAAAGTCGTTCTGTAGCCCAGACAAGCCTCAAAGTTTTCATCCTCCCACGTCAGCTTCTGGGGTAGCCAAGATTTACAGGCCTGCACCACCAGGCCTGACACTGAGAACCTATTCTAGGTGCTTTATGTATTTCCTGACCGAATCCCATAGCAACCCTGTGAGCAAGCATGCTCCTCTCTCATTCCTCTCTCCTCTCTCTCTCTCTCTCTCTCTCTCTCTCTCTCTCTCTCTCTCTCTCTCTCTCTCTCTCTCTCTGTGTGTGTGTGTGTGTGTGTGTGTGTGTGTGTGTGTGTTTATGTGCATGTGTATTACAGACAAGGAAAGTAAGGCATGGATGCTACTATTTTTCCTACGGAAGGGAATACGGTCACATGTGAGCTGGCAAGTGGTAAAATCAGAATTTGAGCTCCGTCAGTCTGCCCCCAGAGCCCGAGTATACCCCTCTGCTTATTGTGTCCTGGACATGTGGACAGAGATGAGAAGGAGGTCTCGAGAGGTTGTATTCTGTCCCAGGTCCTATAGGAAGATGGGGTAAGGGAAGCCTTGGGCTCAACTCTGGGAAAGCCTTGCCGTTACTCCCTGGGGCCCCAGGTTTGCTTTCCAGGGGCTCACCCTGGCTTGTCTCTCAAGCACTCCCAGGTAAGACCAGTCTTTGGTGTTCCTCACACCTACAGGCTACCCTAGAGGGCACCCAGACAGAGGCTGTTAAGAAGCCACATTCAGCTGCGTGGTGGTGGCACATGTCTTTAATCCCAGCACTCCGGAGGCAAAGGCAGGAAGATCTGAGTTCAAGGCCAGCCTGGTCAACAGAGCAAGCTCCAGGGTAGCCAGGGCTACAGAGAGAAACCCTTCTTGATGCCCCCCACCCACCGCACACCCAAAGAATCCATATTACCTTCTATAGGTGTGGCCATGGGGCAGGAGCAGGGTGGTACCATGTGGGGGACCAACTAATGGTAGGGACTTACCGTGATGGGGAGCCGCTCCACACACAGCCCTTTCAAGTCTTTTCCTGTCAACATCTTGTGGTAGAGACGAGATTTTAGTGGTAGCACGGAGACACCCAGGGGCTGCTTGAGGGTCCATGGTTCACTGCTTTTCACTGTGGGAGGAAGGACCAACTGAAGCTTCCTGTTCCTGCCTCCCAGATTCTTAGATGGGTTTGTAGGTATTCCCTGGGCTCCATCTTTGGTGTTGGACATGCAGCTCTCTAGGCTCTCAATGCCCCTTGATCCCCACCTCCTGTTCCCTTACACACATACACTGCCTCTTTGTTTCTTCAGAGATTTATCAGCTTAGAATGAGCTCTAAGCAGATTCTATATCCATAGCTATTTTTCTGGATGGCCCTGTCTCTATCCTCTGGTGTGTGTGTGTGTGTGTGTGTGTGTGTGTGTCTTAATTTAGATTATGGATCCAGACTTGGGATCAGCTGGTCCCTCTACCATTCTCCAGTACACTCTCTTCTCACTGATGGATGTTAATGATGTCCAGGCAGGGACAGGCCCCCATTTCCTGTGCTCTGCAGCTGCCCTATGGCCATGGTTTTAAACTAGACCTTCTTCTATTCTTCTGCCTGTACTGGGGGCTTCCTGGCTCCTGGAGGCCCTTAGGCAGTCCTTACAAGAGGCATTGGCAGGTGGCCCAAACGTCCCTTAATAGAACTCTCCTGATGAATTTTGCCCCATGGGTCACTGGGCACTTACTTGAGGCAGAAGGGTAATACTCTAGCACCAGGGCTGCGTCCTCTGAGAAACTGGTGGCTCCATCTCGGCCTTGGAAGAGGAAGGACTGGTTCCATAAGGGCTGCTCTGGGGGTCCCCCAGGCTTGGACAGCTGGAAGAATGTGGGAGCAGGTGTGGGGTTATACATTAACATATATATATGGGATTGTATATATATCCCTTACATGCCACAAGTGTTTGTCCCAATTATAGAAAGTCAAGAAATAGTAAATAAAAGGAAGGGAAAACGCCTGTATTCTTACATTCAGACAACCACTCAAGCTGGGCAGTGGTGGTGCACGCCTTTAATCCCAACACTTGGGAGGCAGAGGCGGGCAGATCTCAGAGTTTGAGGCCAGCCTGTCTATAGGGCAACACAGAGAAACCCTGTACTGGAAAAACAAAAGACAGCCACTCAGTACCACCGTGTTCCCATTTTTCTGTGAATATTTTATACGTATAATTGCCACTCTGCCCTTTTCCACTTACAATCAAAATGTAAGCACAACCACAGTCTCAAGAGACTCTCATTACTTGTGACTTTAGTAACTTCAAGATATTCTACATGTGATGGCATAGACCTATAATCCCAACACTTGAGAGGTAGAGGCAGGAGGATTCAGGACAACTTGGGCTATGTAAAGTTGGAGGACACCTCAGCTATGTAGCAAGTTTGAGGCTAGCCTGGATTACGTAAGACCCTCTTAAAAATCAAAATAGAGCCCACCTTCCCCAGAAGATGTGTTGCCATGCCCGACTGACCTGATTTCTCCTTTTTTAAAAAAAAAAATTTTAATTTGTGTGTGTGTGCCACAACACATATGCAGAGTTTGAAGAACAACTTGCTTGAATCAGCTCTCTTCTTCCATCATATGGTAGGTTTTGGCTAATCAAACTCATATTGTCAAGTGTGGCAGCAAATGCCTTAACCCTCTGAGGCATTTTGCTCTCCCATTTTCTGACTTCCCTCCTGACAACACTGTGATGGATGCTCTTTGCCTCATACCTCTGTATCCCAGACGATTTTCTCAGTACAAAAAGCTAAAGTGCTGCTCAGTGAAATTCTTCTCATGCTCTAAGGTACTGGCTCGATGTGTGTAGTGTTTTTCGCAATGTTGTACCAACATTCACAGCCCCTTTCTATTCCATACAAGTTACCCCAGCCCTGTTCAGAAGGCCACACAGGTCTTCAGATTCCAGAAGCTGGTTTTATCTGGCTTCAGGCCGTTGGAGACTCAGGTGACTTGAAGGCACTGTCAGGCAGCAGCTGGAGCACACACATGGGGATGGCTTGGAAGATGAAATGCGACAGCATTGACCAACGCCCAGATAAGGGAGACTGGGTGGTCCAAAACCCTCAAAGGAAGCAGGCCTAGAGGAGGCTCAGAAGGAAGATGTGACAAGGTGAAAGAAGAGGAAAGGGACTTCTAGGTGGGGAAATGACCAGGCAACAGAGTGTGGAGGTGGCACACAGCTCAGCCATGTGAAGGACCCCGGAAGTGGGTGGGGGGATTCATGGAAAACCCACATAAATAGGAAGATGGGAAAATAGCCTGTAACTCTTAGCATGAAGCCCTGAATGGTCTCAGCATGGTCTGCTTTGCCTCTGCCCTGTCAGGGGCTGTCGGCCACAGTGGCAGTGGTCCTACCTCCTGCTCCCCTGAGGGGATTAGCAATCACAGGAAAAGGTCAGCACAAACACTCCAGGAGCTACTGAGGCTAGATGGAGAGGGGCCTACTCCTCCTGATTGAGTGGGGCCCTCACACCTGTCACACTTAATGGGCTTGCTCTGGTCCTCAGGAGTCTTGCCCAAGGCTTGGCTGAATCTTTCCCTGTCCCCAGGGAGATGGTTTGTGGTCATCTCAGGGACAGATGAACACTAGGACAGCGCTGGAGTCATAGGCACATCCCTAAGACATCGTGGTGGAAGCTCGGGGATTGCCACCTGGTGAGCACTCTAGGCCCCAGAAGCCAGTTGTGAGTTCTGCGGAGCTTGGTACTGATCTCTCAGGATTGATCCCCACACTATGACCCTCCCATATCCTGGGCATCAGAGGAGGGTATCCACATTGTCTGGACCAGCTGCCAGGCTCCAAGGGCCTCAGGGAGGAGGGACTGTGACTTGGTTTCCTGGGGCCTCATTTGTTGCCCCTATCCTGGGAAAGGGTTATTGAATGGATACTAGCTGTCTGCTGTGGGACTTAGATCTAAATGGAGTCTACATGGCAAGAGGTGGTAAGTGGTTGCCTGCCCAATGAGGGACAGCCTTTTCCCTGAATGGGTTCCCAGAGTAAATCCCCCAGGATAAAGCCTTTCATACCTAGAATTTGGGAGGGTGAGTCCTACATATTCTTTCTCTTTCTCCCTCATACAAAAACGAGTGTGTGTGGGACTCAAGGTTAAATAACAATCTATTATCAGCCCTGTGAAGATATCAGCCCTGTGCTGTGGCTGGTCGGCATGCTGTGCAGAGGTGAGGGGGTGGGGTGGGCGTAGGGTAGACACAGTCTGAAGATGCTGATGGGAAAGGCTAGGGTGGACTTCGGAATTAAGGAATACGATTAACCCTCAGCTGTGATCTTCAGAAAAGCCATTAACCCTCTGCCACTGAGGCAGACCAGCCTTCCCTGGGGACAGAGCCTCCATTCCATGGGCCCTTGTCCCTTCCTCCTCCTCCTCCTCCTGTTTCCTCTGGACTCACCCTCACTCTCAGCCTCACACACTGCTGTCTCTTCTGCCCAGGCACAGTGGAGTCCTGCTGAGAGCAAGAGCTGCTGGTGGCTGGGGCTGGCTGGGCCTTCCAACAAGCTAGGACCCTTGGCTCAGGGCCCAGGGACCACTTTAAGCTTATTGTTTGGATCACAGTGAGTCCCTTCCCTTCTCTGGAGCCAAGTTTTTTTTTTTGTTTTTTTGTTTTTTTTTTTGTTTTTTTTTTTTTCCTTCAAATGCCTTGTGCTTCACACTTTGAAAGCCTTTTGCAAGGTTGAAAGGGACAATGGATATTTTTCTAGTACGCAAAAGTTCAGTTTGACTTAACTTAGCAAATGTTGCCTGGGACATCACGACAGACACTTGTATGTAGGGTATTGCAGGGATTATGAGAGAGCTAGAGGCAGACTCCGTCCCTTCCTGGAGCTTATCTTCCAAGAGTATGGAGCATATGCATGCATGTGAGTAAAACCCACCCACTCCTGCCATCATGCTGAAGCCTGAGCAAGTTATTGTGGGAGCAGTTAGGATATGTGAGGAGAAAGCCACACCTCTTATCTGGGGCCCAGAAGAGCTGAGGGTTGAGGTCAAGGCTGGAGGGGAGAGAGGACAGATACGGAGAACGGCGAGTCTTCCCTGAGGCTGGGTGAGAACTGGAGCCATGAGGTCTGTGTCTGGATGAACAGCACCTAGCTAATGGGGGCTTGGTCCCGTGTGTGAGAGGGTTGAAGGGTCCAAGGGAAGCCTGTGGTTCAGGGCAGAGCATGCTTTACTTGCTTCTCAGAGAAGAAATTAGCAAGGCTGGAACAGGAAGGCTGCTGCAATGGCCTAGGCAAGAAAGGCAGCCAGTACTTGAGTGAGTCCAGGGTGATGGGAAAGACTGAGAGAGCTTGGGAAGATTGGCTGTGGGGATGGGACAGGGAGAGATGATGGGCACAGGCGGCTCTTTCCATCCATTTGTTTCGTTCTTGGGAGCTCTGCCCCAATTCTGCAGGTTGTGAGAGCTGTAGGAGCAAGCAGGTGGGTCCAGCATCCAAATCTACGTCCAACCAGACATGTTTGATCCATCCCTTGACTGATCAGAGCTCAGGTTTTGCTGTCCTCACCAGGGGGAGGAGTGGAACAGACTGGGGTGGCCTGGTACATTCTGTCCCCCTTGCCTCACAGCCAAAAAGTAGAGAGCCCTCTTACCCAGGTGGCTCCTTTCTTCACACCTGCTGGCTTAGGCTATCAGCAAGCCAGAACCACACCCTCATCAGTGACTGGCTCAAGGAAGTGCTTGTGACCTGATTCTGGCCAATGAGACCAAAAGGAAGGTTGGTGGGAAACTTAGTGGGAGGGGTTAGTTGCTAGTTTCTCATAAAAACCTAGCTCTTTACTAGCCTTTGATCGTATCTGGGCCAGAAACCTAGGACATTTTGCTTCCAGGAGCAGTTAGTTGCCCAAATGGTCGTTGCTAGGTGTTAGAGGTCGTGTCCTTAAGGGTGATCACCCTGTAGCATCTAATGCTGAGACTACTTGTGATGTATGGCAGTGGATAGGTCCATCTGAGTTGGGGTTTCTGTGGGGTTCACCACAGACATCAGGTGCAATGACAAGGCTGGCCTCAGGCGGCGTATTTATCATAAAGGGTGTGAAGTTCTGCAGGGGACGGAAGGGACTCTTAGCCTGGGTTAGCCTTTTCATTCTAACAGCCTAGTCAGGTAGGAGTCAATAGGTCTGGAGGAATCATATAGTTTGTCGAAGATCACACAACTAACAAACTACAGATGCCAACCTAGGTCTGCTGGGTCTAGTAGGCTCTGCCCAAGGGTTTGTGGGAAACTCACTGTGCCCCAAGATGTCAAAGGGGACCAGACTTAGAAATTATCTGGTTCAGTCCCCACTCCATCAACTGTAAAGTTGAGAGATGAGGCTCAGGAGGGGCAGGGCAGGGGACTGTGTGCTCTCTAGGCTCAGGGTTCCTGACCAGATTCCCTTCACTTCCCAACCTGTTCCTCTCTTGTTTTCCCTGCTGGCCCCTGGGCATCTCTGCACAGGCTACGTGCAGCTTTACGCCTCATCCAGCTGCCGCCACACTGGGTAACCTTTAGCAAGTGTCTTATTATTGCTGAGCTCTGGCCTTGAGGCCCACATGTGAGGAAAGTGCTGGGGAGGTCTGTCGTGAGGAGTGCCTCCCCCATTCATGTGGAGTTAGGCAGTGGAGATAGCCACTGGTCAGGCCTGGAGAGGCTCACTCATTAAAGCAGGCAGTACCTCCTGCCCCTTGGGACGGCTGCTGATTCGTTCATAATTTCCCGTGCAAATGCAGGGCCATGTGTGAGATGACTCTGGGGAAATCAGGCTGAGGATTGGTTTGGTTTTGAAGCTGTTCCCCATGATTCCCCTTTATCCCACCCTGCCTACCACCACCCCTGCCTGTGTCTGAGCCTTCTTTAAAGGCCTGCCTTTAAATGAAAGCCGGGGCTCCAACAGAGTGTCTTGTTCTAATTTTAGTGGGCAGATGACAGGAGGGACTTCCAAGAACACCCTGTCTTCCAAGCCTCCTCCATCATGTACAGCAAGCTCCCAGTGGCATGCAGTCTGTAGGAGGTCAATCTGGCCATTTTCTGGGCCCAACCGTGACCTGTTTACCATTTCTCCCCCATATTTAAACATATGCCTTCCTGCCCATTCCCAACATGCACTACACCTTGGGTTATACCATATACTATACGATACAGGTGTTTTCACTGCCCTGGACCAATCATAGCAAAACATCAAGACCAATGCCCTGGTGAAATGGCTCAGTGCTAGAGACTTCGGTCAAGGCTTGCCACCTGAGTTTGATCTCTGGAACCTAAACGAAGCCAGTTCCACAAAGCTGTCCTCTGACCTCTACATGTGTGCTGTGGTACAGATGCCCCCTCCCTATATGATGTATATACGTACAATAAGAATGAATTTAAAAGGAAAAAAAACCTAAAAAGTGATGACTAGGGTGGCATCATGCCTATTTTACCAGGGCTGGGAGGGTAAGGCAGGCAGATGGAGAGCCTATAAGGAGACCCTGTCTCAAAAACAAGGTGGAGGGTCAAGACTCACCTTCCCTAACCATCCAGACATCAACGCTCCTCTTCTCTGATTAAAAATGTATTACGGGGGTTGAGAAAATGGCCAATCCTGTAAAGACCTGCTAGAGAGCTGAGCTCTGTTCTCAGCACACAAATAAAAAAGCAGGCAAGGTGGTGAGCCCCTGGAATCCCAGCACGGAGAGGCAGAGACAGGAGAGTGCCTGGGACTTGCTGGCCAGCCAGTCTAGCTGAGTCAGTGAGCGCCAGATTCAGGGAGACACGCTGTCTCAAAAAATAAGGGCTGGCAAGATGGTTCAGTGGGTAAAGGTGCCTGCTGCCAAGACTGATGACCTGAGCTCGGCCCTTGGGACCCACATGGTGGAAAGAGAGAACGGTCCTCTAAGTTGACCTCTTGACTTCCATACTTGTTCTGTGGCATGTGAGCACACATCCCCCCAAATCTCAAAAATACGAAAACAATAAAGTGGAAAACATTGGACACTGACCTCTGTTCTACACACACACACACACACACACACACACACACACACACACACACACACACATGTGCATACACAAACATGCACGTCCACACATCATCCCAAGTGTTTCATGCCTGCAAGTCAGTAGCTTCCTGCTCTCTCATCTCCCCAGCCCTTGATAACACTATTCTAGATCTTGTCCCTCTGGCTGTTAATCTGAGGTGCCCCATGGCAGGTGGAATCCATACTATTTGTCCTTTGTGTCTCCTCTTCTCTGCTTGTCACAGCTCTGATAGTCCCTGCTGGCTTGTTACTAGATTAGACATGATCTGGGCGGATGTTTAGTATCTCCGGGAGTCCCGAGGGCAGGTTCTGTGTAGCACACAGGAGCGGATTCTGGGCAGCAGTGAGATGTAGCAAATGCCTTTCAGTAGTCAGCTGAGCTGCCAGCTGATGTCATGATGAATGAATGGGTCTGTTTCTAGTATACTCCAGTGAGGGGCGTGGTTGGGAAGGAGCCATACCTGAGGACACCCGTTCTGACTGACCCGAGGCACATCGAAGTTCATTGGTGAAGAGATAGGGACAGAGATCTGGGTGAGGGGCAGCCCCACAGAGGCACGGTCCCGCCTGGCCTGGCTGGCCCTGGGGAGGCAAGGAGACAGGAGTTAGTACTTTCTGACCTGTGGCCAGCCTGGCAGCTGGGACTCACATTTGGACTCTGGGTTGAGGTGTAGGGGAGAGTACAGGGAGCCATCTCATTTAAGCCAGGACTTTGTAACAAACACGCTGGTGAGGTCTCTGGCCCAAGCCTTGGGAAGGCTGGTCTTGGTCAGGAGATGAAAGCTGTAGCTCTCAGGCTCCCTTAGCAGTGACTTGAGGTGACCTTGGCTGTATCAGAGGAAGTCAGCTTTACCATCTTTAAAATGGGCCTTGCCTTCCCCACCTCATCTTTGAAGGTCTTTATCTGAATTCCTCCTGACTTGTGGGAATCCTAGCTTGTGCTTAAGGGGTAAAGAGCCTGTGGGGTAATGTGCACACATGCGTGCAGTTTGGGCCCATTGGTATATTATCACTGCAGCAGGACATTCATAATCTGCACACCTCCAATAGGAAAGTGAGGTTTTGGGGATATAAAAACTCCTCAGAGCCATAGATGAGTCAGGAGGTCAGCTTGGGCAGTGACAGGCAGACAGACGACTTCCATACATGTGCTGTCACAGAGCACACATTGCCTGAAGAACAACACCCTCTTTATCCTTCAGTGGTTAAACTCTCCTGAATTCTTTCCTGAGGATTGACTCTAAAGGAGGTCTGGAAACAGTGGGGGACAAGTTGGGACTGGGGCAGATGCCTCCAGGATGCTGAGGGAGGACACTCCCAGGTAGGACTAATGTTCCAAGATGGCTTTAGGTCGTCTACTTTGGGGACCAGCAGGAGCAGGAACCTTGGAACCTTGAACCTGACAGGGAAAGGGGACCATGGCGTGGTGAGCTTGGGATGGGAGGCTTGTCTGAGGGGGCAGGGAAAGGGGCCTCTCTTGGGGTCCTTAACACCAGCTCCTTCCTGCTCTTCGGCCCTACATGCTCAGAAATCTCAGGAGAGAACCTCACTTTCCCTTTCCAGGGTTCAGCTCACTAGAGCCTCAGGTCAAGGTGTGCGGGGAGCTTAGAGGGAACTTAGGGGAGCAGAAGTTTTCCCCATCCCAGATCTCTGCCCTCCTAACCTGCACCCACTTACTTAAACTCAGTATAGCTGGGAACCACCCGAGCGATCACCACCATGGGGTTGGGGCTGTTGACCAGGGGCTCGTTGATTCCCCGAAGGAAGACCTGGAGAAGAGAAGAGGAGGCAGGTGAAGGCCCATGGCTTGTGTCCCTCCCCGAGTCACAGCCAGCCCCCTTCCCACCCTACCTCTGACATCTCTATCATCCCTACACCTGCCATGATCACATGATCATCATGCCTCTACCCATCCCTGGGACCTGCTCCTCCCTGTCCCTGCTTCCCTTGCTTCTTGCTCTGCTCAAGGCTTCTCTACTTCAAGAAGTCACCCTCTGGGTCTGACTGGGGCAAGTGCCCCTGGTTTCCTAGGGGCATTCCTGGAATTCAGCTGCCCTGGGGGACAAGGTGTATAAGCACGAGTCTAGGCCTGGGAGGAGGTCTGGTCACGGGACCTCCCGGGTTACAAGAGCGGGTTCTCTAATTAGACTGTGGTATGAGAGGACACGCTGTAAAGTGAGGACACTAAGCCCAGGAATGGTTTCTCTAATTGTGCTGAGTTTCCCAGTCCAACGTCAGAGGTCAGTCGGACGGGGCACTTCTTGATTTGAACAGTCCTGGTGGCTGTTCACCGCAGGGCTTTTCCCAGCAAACGGTGGTTAAGAAGGCAAGCCTCGGCGTCAGCATCACCCCGGCAGCACTCATTTCACAGTCTTGCCATGTTGCCAAAGCCTGTAGGTGTTGGCCTGTCTGCTCCTCTGCCCGCATTCCCGCCAGCTCCCAGACCCCTCTTTCTGCTGTGGTCTTTTTCTCTCCTAACATGTTCTTGCTTCTGCTTTAACACATACCAGTTCCTGTCCCTGGGCCTCCCCACCCCCATCCTCTGCCAATTTGTCCCGACAGCTGCTTCTCCTCCTCTAGATTCTGTGGCACCATCCCTGGTTCCCTTCTAGTCACTAAAGAAGCCCATTTTCTTGGTGTCTACATTCCTCCTCTGTAGCCATCAATCATCAGAATTGGAGCTTCTCAGCTCTTGTTTACTTTCTAATTGGTATGACTGGCATGCGCAGAAACACGCATCCCGTTCACCGTTGTATTCCCCGCTTTTAACACAGAACCTGGCATGGGGGGGTGATCAACAATGTTTGTGGCATTAAAGAGGGGAAGGGAGAATGATGGAGAGGTGCTTCTATGCTTCTGCGTGTTAAGGAGAAGGATGGAAGAATAGAGAGTCCCAGGGACAGAGTGGGAGAGACACGGTGGCCTTAGAGAGGGTGGGGTTGAACTGGCCTCAAATGATGGCTAGGTCCTAAAGAAAAAGGGCAGGAAGGGCAGGGCCCCTGGACACAGCTTGGGGGTCATTCCCTCGCTGGGTCTGCCCCAGCTGGGAAACCTGGGCCAGACTCAGACCCTCTTTAGGCCTCAGTTTCCCAACCTGTGCATTGAGAGTCTGGGTCTTCTAGCTCTGACATCCCGTGGGAAAAGAAGTCCAGGGGTGGGGCTTGCTCTGGATATCTCCCTCACTTCCTGACTATCCCCTAAGGCCTTTCTGTCTGGGCCCATCTCTGCTGGGTTGCCGGTGGCTAACTCCACACAGGTGTGAACTGATAAGCATTTAAATCATTCTTAGTGCCTTTTGGCTCTCAGTGGGGCCTCCCAGAGAGCCTCTGATGTCAGTGGAGAGCTGTCATGCTCTATGGCTCACAAGAACTCCAACAGGTATGGAGGCTGAAGGTAATGGTCTAGGCGTGTCTGTAGGGGATGGGCAATTTACACCTGTTGTGTGCTGACTCTGGCCAGGTGTGAATGAGACAGCTGTACCACACCTGCTCGTGACAGCCTGGTGAGTAGCTGAAGCAATTTCTTTTCTCACTGTGTCTCCTGGTCTACCATCAGTAACAGACAGATGCTCCTGTGGCTGTTCCTGTGACATACTTGGGAGGAAGGTCTGTGCTGAGCGGGGTATGGGTGAGTGGGCTGCTGGGGCCAGGGGAGCTCAGACTCTATTAGACAAGTCGGAAGACTGAGGCAGGGTGGGCCAGGTCCACAGTCCTGGGGATGTGACCCCTTCCCTGGATGAGGCTTGTGGACAGCAAGGCCATCTTGACTTTACTTTTTCTTGTTCCATATGTTGGAGGGACTGTCTGCTCTAGAAAGGGGCCAGACGGAAGAGAGGGAAGAGATACCAGCTGACACCCAAGGGGTGGCTGTGGAGGAAGCAGAGAGGTTGTTCAGGATTTCTGTGTTCTTGTATCAGACTCATTTGGGTCTCAGGGTCCCCAGCTATTGCCCTACCAGGCTCATGGTGCCCCATGGCAAGGGATCAGATCAGGTTTGCTGGGGTAGGAGAAGGCTAGAGTCAGAGTCCTGTGGATCACACACAGGCCTTTGTGGATGGGACTCTGTTGCCTAGGGAAAAGCTCAGGGCCCAGGTGCCTGGGCCACGGCTGCCGGCAACATCAGTCATTCCTCCTGAAGCTGTCCTTGGGCTGAAAGGTGAAAGAAAGATCATGGTATGGCCCATGCTTGGTCTGCCCAGTGGACGAGGCTGTATAAATAGCTGTTGGGAGAATGAGTGAGTGAATGAGGTTGTAAATGCTCAAGCAGTAGACCAGCCAAACTTCAGGAAGGGCCAGGGAGACGACAGGCTTGTCTGGGAGTCTTAGGCCCTAGGTCATGGGTCATAACCCCAACAGGGAAGAACAGGACTGAACACAGCCAGGGGCTGGACTATGGTATGGAAGATGGACTTTTCCTTGCTCCTAGAAAGTGCAAAATCCGAGGGAGCCTGTGCTGCTCCCTGAAATGCACATGAGGAACACAGCTGTCACTCAGTCCCTTCTTCCTCCATCCAAGGGTAATATAGGAAGGAGAGACCAGGGCACTTTTGTCCCAATCAAGGATTGTCTTCAGAAACTCGACTATTTTGTTGATGTTTTTAATATTTTTTAAAATTTATTTTTATTGTGTGTGTGTGTGTATGGTATGTTTGTGTGGGGGAGGTGTCCTTGTGCCATGGTGTGTGTGTGTGTGTGTGTGTGTGTGTGTGTGTGTGTGTGTGTGTGTGTGGTGTGTATGTGTGTGTGTGCGTGTGCGCGTGTGCGTGTGCGTGTGCGTGTGCGTGTGTGTGTGTGTGTGTGTGTGTGTGTGTGTGTGTGTGTGTGTAGGCCGTAGGACAACCTTGCGGAGTCAGTTCTCTGTGTGTATTTCAGGGATTGAACTCAGGCCAGCAGGTTGCACAGTAAACTTTACCCACTGGGCCATCTCGCTGGCCACACTGTGGCTAAGTTAGAGAGGCCTCATTGCTTTTGCCCTTTTTGATTTCTTCCCCAAACACCTCTGCTCCATCCTCTTAGGCCATTCAGAGGCAGTCAAGGGCTCCACCTGTCCCCACAGTCCCCACAGTCCCCCAGTGCTGGTACCTCCAGAGCTGTATGGTCACAGCCAATGTATTGGGGTAGTAAGCTGCCCTTCCGAACCACGGTGGCATAGAGGCGGGTCTTGGCCGTGGCGTCATCAGCTTTCTCAGACTGCATGGGGTGAAGACAGGATGGAGACAGAAGATACACAGGAAGGAGAATGTCTAAGGGGCAGAGCCTGGTCATAAATCCAGGCCTGTGTGGACACTTGCTTATCATTGCACCACTGGGACTCCAGCTGTAATTAAAGCTCATGGTCCCTGGGAGCCCTTCCAAGAAGATCAGCCAATAAATCTCCCCTTTTCCGTTTGAATATTTCATTGCCCTCGCAAGGACTACTACCCGCCTGCACTCTTGGTGAAGATATGATAAGGAGGCCTGGGGTCTAAGTGGTTAGAGGGCTAGGGGCCTGACAGATGCTCCAGAAGAGAGATCTAGGGCTACCTCCAGGGTCTCTTGGGGTCTTTGCTTTCCTGCCTGCCCTGATGCCCCTTCTGTAGTCCTGGAGCCCGGGGATGATAATGATCTCTGGCACCATAGTTGAAGAGTTGCTTGGCAGGAAGGTGAATGCCAAGGCCTGGGGGAAGGAGTAGGGATGGGAGCTACACACGCTGAGTTCTTCCCGTGTGCCGGCACTTTACCCATCACCACACTGGAGCCTGTCCAGAGGTGTCTTGTTTTGCCTTTGCTAGGGAGCAATGGAGGTCTGAAGTAAAGTGGCCTCGTATGGGCACACAGCTTGAAGTGGCAGACCTGGGACAAGAGCCCAGACAATCTGCTCTCACATTGTCCTTTCCTTTGGAAGGAAAGGTTCTGGAGTGCATGTTGGAGGAAAGCAAAGAGATGCTTCTGCTCCTCTGTGGTCCATGACCAGGCACTCAGTAGGTGCTTAATAAATAACTGAGCAATGAGAGTGACTCCCCCTTCACCAGTCAGCACTAAGGAGTCTAGTCCAAGGTTGAGAGGCTGGATTTTCTACTCTACAGGGTTCATTCTGGAGAATGTTTTGCCTACCAAATGTATACTCCATATCTCTGGCTTGGAAGGAGCATGACCTGGGCCCACCCTCAACTCTATTCTTAGAGAATATTTGGGAATATCAAAGCACTTACTTCCCATCAGATCTCCCCTATCCAGCCAGAGGTTAGGCTCAGAGCCCAGGGCTTGCTTGGGCTTACCTTTTTAAACTCAAAGTGGTATGGGTGGAATACACGCAGGTATTTAATGGGGATTTCATAGGACACCAGCTCCTCCTTCTTATTGTTGTCCATCACCTTGAGGATGACACCTGGAGAGAGTGGGGGGTGGGGAAGGAGCTTTCCCAGTGATGGGAGACAGTGAGAGGCAAGGAACATTGCTGAGACAGCCAGATCACGGAACATATGGGGGAACGCATGCCTTTCCTTGTGTGGCCATTTTCACAGAATTAAACACTCCCTTCTGGAGAGAGGAGGGAGGCTCATAAAACTCAGGAAAACTATGTAATGAAAAGGCTCAGAAAATTACAACACTCACAAGCCCCTCTCTAAAACTACAATAGCAGTCCACAATAACTGGTAGAAGGAGGACTCTGGTGGAGCTGCCTGCAGGCTGGGCCAGAAGATCCACTGATGCAGCTTTTGTGAGTGGCCTCCCACGCTGAGGGTGAGCTTTTCAGTGGTACCACTGCCTTTGAGTCACCCATGCTCATGTAACTGCACTGGTTAGTTTTTGTCAAGTTGGCACAAACTAGAGTCATGTGGGAAGAAGGACCCTCAGTTGGGGACTGCCTCCATCATACTGAATTGTAGGCATGTCTTTGGGGCATGTTCTTAATTGCTAATTGGTAAGAGGCCACTGTGGGTGGTACCATCCTTAGGCAGATGGGCGTGGTCTGCATAAGAAAAGTAGTGAGCAAGCCAGTAAGCAGACTTCCTCTATTGATTTTTGTCTCAGCTACTGTCTAGAGTTCCTGCCTTGGTTTCCCCTGATGATGGACTGTAACCTGTAAGTCAAATAAACCCTTTCTTCCCCAAGTTGTTATTGGCCAGTGTTTTATTACAGCAATGGGGAAGGAAAGTAATAGAGTAACTCCTTCCTTGAAGTAACCTAAATAAACTTTCTGGTCCATCAAGCTGGACTTGAGAGGAATCATTAGATTGTCATGGTACACCACCTGGGGGTAAACGCATTTGTTTCCCCAGGGAAAGTCACACAATACATGTATGTGTAGGGAATACATATGTGCATATAAGCCCCAAGGCATTATGTACATGTAGGAAACACACATGTGCCTATAACCCCCCAGGCATTATCTGCATTTCTATCCAGGGCAAGACTCCATGTCATGTGCTGTTAGAACCTCCAAATGTGAAGAACCTCTGAAACCCAGAATGGTAACATCAGACCAAGGCCAGTTCCATGAGGCAATAGACATATGTGAGCACAGTATTACAGGCAAGCAAATGGTGCACATGCGTACATGTAGGCAAACACTCATTCACAAAAAAATGAAAATAAATCAATTTTAACCTGTAATAGTGCCACCTGCAGGACTAAGACCCCCTCCCTTAGTCATAGGCACTCACACCAGCTCTTCAGGAGTGTGTCCCATATGTTTTAGGTAGAGAAACAGAGGTTCAGTAAAGAAAAACAATCTACTCAAGAAAGCTCTCAATAAAAGAACCTTTAAAAGTCCACTCCATGGGGCTGGAGAGATGACTCAGTGTCAAGAGTACTAGCAGCTCTCCAGAGGACCTGAGTTCAATTTCCAGCACCCACATGGCAACTAACAACACTGGTAACTCCAGTTCCAGATCTGATGTCCCCTGCTGGCCTCCATCGACACTGCATGCATGTGATGCACAGACATGCAGGCAGACAAAACACCCACACTCATAAAATAAAAATAATAATTAAAAAAGCCTACTCCAAGTAAATTCAGTACTTTTGGGAGGTTAAAATTGATTTATTTTCATTTTTTTGTGAATGAGTGTTTGCCTACATGTACGCATGTGCACCATTTGAGAGCCTTGTGCCTGCAAAAGCCAGAAGAGGGTATCAGATTCCCTGGAACTGGAGTGTGGTGTGGTAGTTTGAATATAATTGGCCTCCTAGAAGCTCATAGGGAGTGGCACTATTAGGAGGTGTGGCTTTGTTGGAGTACGTATGACCTTGTTGGAGGAAGTGTGTCACTATAGAGTTAGGTTTTGGGGTCTCATATATGCTCAAGCCAGGCCCAGTGTCTCAGTTCACTTCCTGTTGCCTTTGGATCAAGATGTAGAACTCTCAGCTCCTTTTCCAGCACCATGTCTGCCTGCCTGCCACCATGCCCCACCATGATGATAATAGACTAAACCTCTGAACTGTGAGCCACCCCAATTAAATGTTTTCCTCTATAATAGTTGTCTTTTTTTTTTTTTTTTTTTGGTTTTTCGAGACAGGGTTTCTCTGTGTAGGTTTGCGCCTTTCCTGGATCTTGTGCTGTAGACCAGGCTGGCCTCGAACTCACAGAGATCCGCCTGCCTCTACCTCCCGAGTGCTGGGATTAAAGGCGTGCGCCACCACCGCCCGGCCATGGTGTCTCTTTATAGCAATAGAAACCCTAACTAAGACAGAAGTTGGTACCAGGGACTGGGGTATTGCTGTGATAGGCCTGATAATGTTTTTATTTGAAAGAATATAGAACTTGGGGCTGTGGATTAGAAAAGCAGCTGAATGCTTTAAGTGCTGCTTAATGGGCCATACTGGTAGGACATAGAAGACAGTGGTGCTGAGGGTGATTTGATGAACTGTGGGGGCACAGCTCAAGACGTTTCAGAGAACAATATTAATATGTGGAGAATAATATTAATATGTGGCCTAGAGATCATTCTTATGATATTTTGGTTAAGCATGTGGCTGCTTTTTGCCCTTGTCTGAAGACTGACTGGGGCTAAAGTGAAGAGTTTTGGATTAATTTCATTGGCAGAGGAAATCTCAAAGCAGCCTAGTATAGACTCTGTCATGTGGTTATTAGTAGTCACTCTAATGAAGACTTATAATGGCAGATCTCTGAGTTTGAGGCCAGCCTGGTCTACAGATTCAGTTTCAGGACAGCCAAGCTTAGGCTGTGAAAGAAAACAGAAAGCTGGTCAAGATGTAACTGAACAAGGGGGCCATGTTCTAGTCCCAGCAAGCAGCAGAACTTGGCAGCTTCAGCCCTGTGGTTCTGTCTTTAAGGATAGAAGAGAGGGGTAATGGAATATTCCTCCATTATTCCTCAGTGACTAAGGAGAGCTGCTGAAGCTAGGCCTGTGTCAGGGGTATCTCTGAATGGAGGCCTAGAGAGGCCATTGCATGAAGCTGTGAAGTTGAAGCCTGGATTGTCTTGGAGACCCTAAAATGTTGGAGATGCCAGAGCTGTGGGATACCTGCTGAGGAGAGCTGCAAACAGGGAGTGGAGCCAGCCCAAGAGAGAGAAGTGTGTTGCAGTGAATGAAGCTAAAAGGAGTTTAAGTTCTGAAGAGCATTTTGACATCAGACATGGAGATGTAGAGTTTGGAGTTTGCCCAGCTGGTTTTTTGATCTTGCTTTGGTTTAGTATTTCCTCATCATGCTCTCTTCCCTGTATTTTGGGATGATAATGTATATCCTGTGCCATTATATGTTGGAAGTATGTGATCTGCTTTTTAATTTTGATTTTATAGTGGATTACAGTTAAGAGACTGCATGAACCTCAGAAGACACTTTGAACTTTGGACTTTAAAACATTGTTGAGACTGTGATAGACTATGGGGACTTTTGAAGTTGGATTAAATGCATTTTGCCTTATGATATTGTTACAAGTTTATGGGGGTTAGTGAGTGGAACTTGGTATTTTGAATGCAGTTGACTCCATAAGCTCATGGGGGTGGCACTATTAGGAGATATGGCTTTGTTGGAGTAGGTATGCCCTTGTTGGAGGAAGTGTGCCACTGTGGAGGCAGGTTTTGGGGTCTCATATATGCTCAAGCCATGTCCAGTGTCTCAGTTCACTTCCTGTTGGTTTTGGATCAAGATGTAGAATTCTGAGCTCCTTCTCCAGCACTATGTCCTCCTGCATGCCACTATGTCTCACCATGATAATAATGGACTAAGCTTCTGAAACTGTAAGCAAGTCACGCCGATTAAATGTTTTCCTCTTTAAGAGTTGCCGTGGTCATGGTATCTCTTTATAGCAATAGAAACTCTAACTAAGCCACAGCAGATGTGAGCTGCCATGTGGCTGCTGGGAACTGAGTCCAGGTCCTCTGCAATAGCAGCAGGTGCTTTTAAACACTGAGCCATTTTTTTCCAGTCTCTACTCCAAAGAAATTAGAACGAAAATCAACACACCATTTAGTAAACACTTCCCAGAGACCACATTGTCTCCTAAAATCAGGATAAACTTTAAGGAGAAAGCCAGCATCCTGGAAATGATCATGGTGCCCACTCATGAGCACCTGCTGTGTTCCAGGCATGGTGATCACAAGTATATAGCTATTATTCCTATGAATTCTGATGGCAAGCATCATCACCTTTCTCTCTAAAATATGATTGGTGGCACTCAGAGGGGCCATGGAACTGGATCAGCATCACAAGCTAGGAGATGGGTGGCAAAGAGGCTGGATTCAGTGACTTGATGCATTTTCCCATTCTTGGAAATCTGTTTGTTTGTTTTTTGGGTTTTTTTTTGTTTGTTTTAAAAGAAGAAAAAGATGGGGAATGAGGAAAGAGGAGAAAGATGAAGGGATGGGGAGGGAAGATAGAGCTGGAAGGAGAAGCTAAAAGAGATACAGAGAAGATGGGCTAGGGAGGACAATGCTTGAGGGCTACCCTTCCCGAGAGCACATTTAAGCACCACGGACAGCTGCTGCCCCAGCCCTGTGCGCCCCTCCCACCCGCAGTGGGGTGACTAGAGGGTAGGAAGTCATTCTTTCTTTCTCAGTATTCTTCCTTACAGCCACCCCGAACACACAGAGAGGGGAAGCCACTTGCCAAGAGTGGGCTACATGGGACCCATACCCAGAAGGAAAGAGACACTGGAAGGTCCTGCAATTGACCAGAAGAAAGTATAACAAATCCAGGATTTGAAGTGAGCAGGTCCGAGTTCTCTTACCAAGGTGCTAATTTGCTTTCTGGCTTCTGGGAATTCATTTAGCCCTTCTGGGCTTCTGTATAACATGAATACTTTAAATAACCAAACAGAAAAGAAAGAAACTTTATCCAATTCCTAAGATTTCTGAGGCAGGACTTATAAATGAGGACCTCCCTCCCTCCGTCTCCCTGCCCTGCCCTGGCTCTCACCAGTTTCCCCTTGCTAACCATCTGCAGCTCCCCACACACTCACCCATCCCTGAGCAGACCTGGGAAGACTCTGCAGGGGGATCCCGGAACTCCCAGCCAAGAACCAAGATCCGACAACAGTAGCCCAGGAAGCTGTAAACACATACCCACTCCCCATGGACTCTGAGTTCCCCAAACTAGTCAGGATTTTATGAGACCCTGCATCTACCTATCTTGGGACACCCTGTTTTTGCAGGAAGCTGGCCTTGGGCTGTAACTGGGGGAGTGGACAGCCATTCCTTCCATGATCTTGTCTTCTTGTTTCAAACACGCTTCATCAGCTTCCTGTTTGGGCACTGAGCCCTTCCGCTTCCTACCACTCCTTTTGTGTGGCCAACAAGCCATTTTGGCTGCCCGCCCACTTTGGCCTTGACCCAGGGTCTAAAATTCCCCTTTGCTTTTCATTAACATTTTCTCCAGCTACCTCCCCCCAATCCTCTTGCCTCTTGGCCTGACCCCCAATTCCCTACCCACTGTAGTTATCACCACAGCAACCAGTTCCAACTAGGTTCCAACAAGCGACTTCAGTCTGTAAAGAGGTGCCTGCCAATATTCATGTGGCCTCCTCACCCTCCTGTGCCTCTTGTCTCTGCTGCAACTCATCCTGCCTCTGGCTACACAAAAGACTCGGGACTACTGACCTCATCACACCCTTCCACATCTCACCCCGGTTGTGCATGGCAGAAGGCAGGGCCCACCTACGCCACTACTAACTTACACACACACACACACACACACACACACACACACACACACACACACGCACGCACGCACACGTGCACGCACACGCACAGAGAGAAGGGTGACTACAGCACAGACAGCAATACTATGCAATGGCGTTCACATAGACACAGGAGCCAGCACACAGACCCCCACAAAAGTGTGAGTGTATAAGCACATATGTGTATCTGTGTGAAATCCCAGGATGTTTTTTTTCTTCTCTTTTATATCTTCTCAAACCATCCCCACAGCTCCACTTCTTCCTTTTTACAGGAAGGAAACTATAGCTAGCCTTCTCCCTGTGTGTGGGAACCCAAAGTGTTACCTCCCCCCCCCCCCCGCCCCGCAGTCTCTTGATAGTCAGCTTTTGGCTCTGTGAGGTGAACAAGGAGGACAGTAAATCTGCCTGCAAGAAGTGGGGATGCTGATCTGACTAGCTGAGTCCAGGGACACGACAGGGGACCTCTGCTCTGTGCTGCTAGTGCTCCCAGGATGCCCAGTGCTAGTGCTCCCAGGCTGCCCAGTGTCAGTGCTCCCAGGCTGCCCAGTGCCAGTGCTCCCAGGCTGCCCAGTGTCTGTCAGTGCTCCCAGGCCGCCCAGTGCTAGTGCTTCCAGGCTGCCCAGTGCTAGTGCTCCCAGGATGCCCAGTGCCAGTGCTCCCAGGCTGCCCAGTGTCTGTCAGTGCTCCCAGGCTGCCCAGTGTCAGTGCTCCCAGGCTGCCCAGTGCCAGTGCTCCCAGGCTGCCCAGTGTCAGTGCTCCCAGGCCACCCAGTGCTAGTGCTCCCAGGATGCCCAGTGCTAGTGCTCCCAGGCTGCCCAGTGCCAGTGCTCCCAGGCTGCCCAGTGTCTGTCAGTGCTCCCAGGCTGCCCAGCGCTAGTGCTCCCAAGCAGTTCTGGCACCAGCAGTCAGTACTTCAGTATGCCCAGCCCAACCTCTCACTTGGGGGTAGACATTAGATGGTCTCACAGTGAGAAACACACAGGGCTCACTTGCAAGTGTGTATACTGGTACCTGGTCCAAGACCAAGGGAGGACTAGCCAGGGACAAAGATCCCTTCTAGCTAGAGGCATTCATCAAACAAATCCAAACTCAGCTAGAACCTGGAGCTCCAGTGATCTGAGATGCCTAGTCTGTCTATGCTTACCCAGCACTCGTGTTATTTAAATTCCCTACACCTCAGTATTCTCTTCCAAGTAGCATAGCTCCTCTTAGGAGGTGGTGACTCTAATGATGGACGCGTGGGGACATGCCACAAGACTATAACGTGCCATTTAAGTGGGACATGGCAGTAATAACAACCGTGAAAATAATAACAACCGTCATAAAAAACGATAAGCTCACATTGTCTGGAAAATTCATTTATGTGGAACAACTCATTTTTCCAGCAGGCTGAGGAGATGAGGCGTGATGGGATTATGATATTTTTTTTAAATGCTTTTATCGGAGTACAGGGAGGCACTCAGGTGATCTCCAGCTGTGTTGGGAGGAGGCTGCTTTTGCCTTCCATGGCTGGTGGGCCTGTGTTCACTGCACCTCCCACACGCCAGCCCCCAGCCCCCAGTCTCACCTTTCCGTCCTGCATCCTCTGCCTGGATCTCCACTTTCACTGTGTCCCCCCAGATGGGTGCTCTGGTGGGTTCTGAGGTCACAGAGGTCACTGCTTTGGGGCTGGGAGCGGTGGCTTCCTCTGATGTGGTTTTTCTGGAGAGGAGGGGCAATTGAGTTAGAGGGAGGCTTCCTGCCTGCTGTTACCCCCTTCCTGGGCTCCATTGTGCTGAGAGGGTAGACAGAAAGTGGGCAGCTCTCCCCATATAGACACTCATGCCATCCTGGGCTCAATGAATGCCAGGCCTCTCCCCTTAGCTGTCCTGTTTGGTGGCCACACCATCTCGCTGGCCACTACTGAGGCCTTTGCTTAGGTGCAGGAGCCAGAAGCTCAAAGTGAGAGCAGGACAGATGTCATATCTGTCTGATTTCCTGCCCCTTGCCAAAGAGGGCTCCTGGCAGGTGCCTGTATGAGGGACCCCATCTGGACCCTCTTCTCTGGAGGTCTGTTCAATGGGAGAATGCTTCTGGGTAACAGTTGGCCCTGGACCACCCACCTCAGCTGCTCACTCCTGGCTTTCATGTCTCTAAGTGTGTGGCCCAGAGTTCCAGGCTGGCCCCAACGCCTCAGTTCTGAACTCCTTCAGTGGGGTATACTATTTCCCTACCCACAGAAATCTGGGGTGGACACTGGAAGCTGGGCATAGGGCAGGAGGGAGAGCTTCATGGCCCCTGAACACTCAGGCTATCAGGGGCAGGGTGTGCGGGTGAGGCAGGAGCACAGTATAGCCCATAGGTGTGGGAGACTAGTCTCCCAGAGATCCAGGGTCCTTAGACAGCTCAATGAAAGAGTTAATATCCTTGTGTTATTTTCAGCCTGTAAATGGTGTTGCTACAGTGACTGCCGCAATCATGGGTGAGCAGTCTGCGACCCCAGCCTTTAGGAGGGGAGCTACACCATGCACCAGCAGGGGAGGTCTGGTGCACCTCCCCCTCTGCCATCCCTTTGTCCTATCTCTGTGACCATGGCTGACTGAGGGTGCCCCATGAGCTCTTCCTGCCGTTCTGTACTTCTGTTCTCTCTCTTATATAGCTACACTGGCAAAGCCAGAGACTTGTGAGCTCCCAGGCTTTGCCATCAGCCCACCGCACTGATGTAAATGCACAGAGACACCTCAGCCTCCCGCACTGGGGCTCCGTACCTCTGACAGAGGCAGAGGAAGACAGCAGGGTGGCGGTGGAAACGTGGGTGAACTAAGGACACGCAGGAAGGAAAGCAGGCCCTCCTCCACGGCACACGGCACAAATCTGCCCCCGCACAGGCTCAGCCTTGGGGGCCTCTTAGGGATTTTCAAGTGACTCCATGTGCATAGAAAATATCAAACCAAGGGTGTGGACTTGTGGCCAGTGACAGGGCTGAGATGGGAACCCATGACCAGTCCCTTGACAGCCCTTCTTCTCCCTCCAGCTCCTGCCCTCTCTCCTCCTCTATTCATGCTTTAGGGGGTTTGCAGGAACAAGTCAGAGTTAAAAGATGTGGGAAGTTAGTCGGAGCTTTCCCTTAGGACAGAAAGAGTTAAGTCTCCCCCAGCCTAGCCAAGAGGTGGTCAGGGTAGGTGAGTGAGATGAAGGGAAGGGGGAGGGAGGCCCAGGGGAGAAGGTGGGGGGCAGCGGAGGAAGCTTTTAGCAGGTGGGAGAGTCTGTCACGGTAATGGCTTTTCCTGGCACAGCTGACTGACTCCTTGGAGCCTTGATGAGAATCTAGAACTGGAGTTGGGGGTGGAGAGAGCCCTCTGATTCCTCCCAGAGTGGAAGCAGGGGACCAGTTGACTCCTGAGTCCCAGTCCCAGTCCTGCACTGGGATCTTGGCACCTGGCCGAGTTCTAGGTCCCCAGGCTAGCAGCTCAGGTCTCCCAGTACAACTTCAGGGCCCAGGGGCCCTCTCTGAGACCGACATCCCTTTCAGCTGTCTACAAGGTTTAAGGTTCCTCCCTCCCTATCTCCAAAGGCTTGCCCTTGCTAAACAGCCTGGCAGCTGCAGTCAGGGGCTGGAGGGACTGGTGCCTATTTTCTCAGGGCTTAGGGCTAGCTCAGTCTCAGCAGGATGGGACTGGGGTTGGGTGAAGAGAAGGAATGCAGCTACCCTGGGCCCCAAGCTATAGGAAAACGCAACCCTGTCTCCAAAGGCCCACACTTCCCCCAGGGTAGAAGAGGAGTGTGTCTGACCAACTCCAGGCCTCTAAGCCTGTGTTACCTGAAGCTCCCACCCCAGCGCGGTGGGTGCGAGGGGCCAAGTGCAAGCACAGCTGGGAGTGGGCGGCAGTGAGAAGCTTCTTGCTTTTTGTTTTTGTTTTTGTTTTTTTTTTCCTTCAAGGTCATGACTAAGGGAAAATGCAGTGCCTGCTTCCCACTGGCTACTGCTGCGGGGTGGAGATGTGGAAAATCAGCAGACATGGGTGCTGGGGATTGATCTGATCAGGTCCTCATGTTTGCTCAGCTTTACAGACTGAGCCAGGTCTCTGGTACCTTCACCATCCCCATCCCTGTCCTTACTTCCATGGCTGGCTGTTAGCTTCCTGCTGCCTCTGCTGTCTTCCAGTCCCTTCTGAACCTGTCTCCCCCCATTTGCCCCACAGTCCTTTGGGCCTCCCAGTCCTTTTAGAACTTCAAAGCAAACTGCATGGGGGGGGAGTGCCCCCCCGGGGGGGTGTCTTATCCAGAATGCCAATCCCAGGACAGCTCACCAGGAGAGCAAAGCAAAGGGGAGGGCCCCAATTCAGTCTGTTCTGGTTGCTGGAGACCTAGAAAGCTCTTAGGAGGAGGAGTAGGGCCAAAGCAATGTTACCAGAAACACCCGGCGGGAGGCACTCTAGCAGGCCTTGAGAAGGATAAATGAAGGACAGATCTTTAGATGGGTGCATGGCAGACTAAAGGTCCTGCTAGCTTTCAAAGAGGTCCACTATGACTCTGTTGATGGCTCTCCTGGAGGACCTAGAGGGAGGTGGGAAGACAGGTTCAGGCTAGGTGTCCTTGAGGTCAGCTGCCAGGTGTGTGGTTGGGCCTGACTATCTAGAGAAGACCAGGCAACCCCTGCCCCCGCCACACCAGGCTCCTTCAAGTCAGCCCCAGAGCCAAGGACACCAGGTTCCTCACCCTCTAGGAGGCAAGTAGCAGCCAGACTCCCAGGCCTCAAGTCTACCTTCCTCCTAGAACGCACCTATCAGCCTGAAGACCTCTCTCCAAGGTCAATCTTCCGCAACAGGGGTAGGAGCTATAGAGCTAGCCTCTGCAGAGTGGGTCAATGGCTGCATTCCTGTCTCTGAGCTCACCTACCTTGGCTAGCAAGGGAAGATGTCTGGAGGAGGCAGGGATCACAGAGATGTCCCCAGGAAGAGGACCTTTCCATGGGGAAGGCTTACAGACTTGTAGGAGGTCAGGAGCTGGCTCAAGGCAAGTCACAGGAGGGGCAGGTTTGGGCAGTCAGGCTTTAGGACCTCCTGAACGAGCCCTTTCTGGAGTTTTTTTTATTCCAGGCCCACCTTCGGGGTCCTCTGAGGTCACATAAAGGAAGGGACAGCCCTGACTCCTGTGGCCTCGGCTAAGCCACGGGGAACTCCTAGGCAAGAAGCTATGCCCAGGGAATCATGAAAGAGGAGAGGGGTTGATCTGAGACAGGTAGAGTCCAATCCAAAGCCCCTTCTCTTTCCTCTCTCATTTCAGACCCAGCCCAACAGTCAGATCCCCATTTCATGTATCCCTCCTCTGACTCCAATGCTGTTCAAGTCCTTGTGGGCTGCAGGCTAACCAGGGCCTGTCACTTAGGGCATAAACGGAGCTGTTTTCTTCTGCAAAGTGGTGGGCTCTCATCCCGAGTTTCATTGATTAATTACAGACTAATGAACCATCACTAATTGCTGATGATAAAACAACACCTGGTGGGCCTCTGTGGTTAATTTTTGTCAACTTGACATAAACTTAGACATACCTGGGAAGAGGGAATCTTAATTAAGGAATCTCCTCCATTAGATTGCTCTATGGAACACTTTCTGGATTGCTAGCCCATGTAGGAGGGCCCAGTCCACTGTGGGCAGCGTCATCCTTGGGCATGGATTATATAAGAAATGTAGCTGAGGAAGCCACAGCAAGCCAGCCAGTAAGAAGCATTCTTCCATTGGTTTCTGCTTAAGCACCTACCTGGAGTTCTTGCTTTGACCTCCCTTGTGATGAACTGTAACCTGTAAGCTGAAATAAACCTTTTCTTTTCCAAGTTGCCTTTGGTCATAGTGTTTATGGCAGCATGGAAGCAAACTAGGAGAGTCTTCATCCACAGGATGACTCTGGAACTAGGAAAGTATAAGCTGAGGTCAGGGATCCCCTGCCAACAGGAAACTAACTCGGCCATCTATAGGAAGTGACTTAGCTTTGGGAACAGAAATTAAATGTGGTTAAGCCAAAAAGTTCTTTATAGTTCAGGTTGAGTGTTGTGTTGCATCTCTGTGAGTCCACACTTGGGAGGGTTTTACCATAAGTTTGAGGCCAGCCTGGTCTGTATAGTAAGATCTAGGCTGCCCAGGGCTCCATAATAAGATTCCATCTTAAAAAGCCAAAAGCCAAAATGAGACTTTGTCTCTCTACCTCATCCCTTTCCACTTCAGCTGTTCTTAGAGGAGCCCTTCATGGGGGTGGAGATGCCATCTCTTTTCAGAACTCAGTTAGCTGGGTGGATCTTCCCACGTGGTTCAAGAGGGAACTGTGGTCCACAGAACACAATGTCTGAGGTAAATTTATAGTCAACCCTGTGGACTGGGCATTGTCACATCCTCTCTCTTCTGGAAAAGGAACTTCCCTGTTTCCCAAAGATGGTCTCTGAGGCTGGGGACAGCACTGGACCAAAGACAGCCTGCTGCCTGCCTCACCTGCAAGCCTCAGGGGACATCTATCCTAGGTCATCATGGTGAGGCTCTCAGAAGTCACCTTCTTAGGTTAGGGAGGCACCAGAATCCTGTGTGGGCAAATGACAGTCCCTGTGACAAGCTGTGGGTCTGAGCGAGACAACTTGAGAAGGTCTCATGTCTTGAGATCCTCTCAACAGATCAATCATTGACCATCCACTCTCCTAGCATCCCCTTGCCTCTGTAAGCAGCCTTAGCACAGAA